TTAATAATCTCTCCTAATTTTTTTTAAAAAGAAGGAATAAGTCTTAAAAAATCTGTGTCTCAAATTTGGTGGAGATTGCTGAGCAAAAAAGGGTTAAAGTTAAGGTTTGTGGCTAATTTTTATTAATAGAATTTCGAAAAAATTTTCGGAAAATACACTTCCCAATCGTTTAATGTGACAAATCGTCCGACTACTATTACTATTGTATTTGTATAAAAGAGATAAAATTAACAACAACGATAATAAAATGAATTGCTTTATTCGTCCCCTTTTCATATTGAGTTTCTTTGTCTTTTTCATTTCTAGCGCCTCTGCCGACTGTGACTACAATCACGTCGACAACTGCAAAGGCCTTCAAATTAATAACCCTGGAGGCCTTAATTGTGGTGCTGAACTAGATGGTTAGTTATCAAAGTATTTAATTCCTGTCCATATCAATTCATTCTTTAACGTTTATTATTTGACTTATTACTAACGTTCCAACTTGGGAAAATGCAGGTTGCACTTCTGGTAAATCTGGAAAGTTTTCTTATCATATCTTTCAATCCGCACCTAATGGCGTAATCATTTGTCGGTTTGGGCCTTGCCTCAAAGGTTGTTGTGGGGTTCCTGGTAATGAAAGCTATTGTTGCACGGATGACACTTGTTCCAGCTGCCCTTCTGCTTATTGGTACAAAATACCCCCACCACCCAAACCAGAAGTATTTCAACCTGAACCTGTTTCAAGTTGCTATGCATATATTAAAGGCGTTTTTTATCCGAAATGAATTATTGTTAGACATTAGTCATATTTATAAACCAAATTAGTTGGGGGGTTTTTTTTTTGTAACTTGTAATTTTCGAGTTATTGTTTTATATGTATACTTTTGTTTTAAATATAATAATTCTCAAAAGAAAACACACATACAGTTAGGCTACTATATACAAGAAAGTAATTTTTAATTGTATGTAATTTTATAATAACGATCTTAAATTAACGTTTAGCTTCATTATGAATTTATTACTAGGGCGAAATTTGATAGGTTTTTTATATTATGAATTCGACATACTAACACCAAAAAATGGACCCGTATGATCAGAAAACAAATAATCGAGGAAGAAAGGGATTGTGCTAGTTGAGCAATGCTATTATTACAAATATATTAATACTCAATTATAAAAACTTTCTATCTTTCTTGAAAAAAAAAAATACTCTAAAACAATTACCTGGTTGTCATTTCCGGTGCATACGAAACTCCCTTGTGTATAGGGTATCTTATCTGGGTTAAATATCCATATTTCACCTTTAGGATGTGCCCAAAATGGTGGAAAGAGAGCTTGTGAAACTATATCACCTTTTCGCGCAACATGGTATATACAATTCTATCAACAAATAAAAATAAAATACAACAATTGAATAAAGTATATTATTCCGTTGAAGAAATAAAGTTAAACTTACTAATGCTTCATTAACATAATTGGCAAAATCTATATTACCAGCACGTGGCATGTTAAAAGCGTAAAAGCAAGGTTGAACATTCGGAAACATTTGGCGAATGTGAAGAGCTTGATATAATCCTAAAGCTATAATATACAAAATATTAAAATTGAGTATCAAAGATGATCAACAGAGTTTATTTTACCTCCTCCTAAGCTATGACCAGTCACAGAAATTCCAAAGTTTGGATATGCCGCCATCAAGGAAGTTAATTCATTCAAAAGACATGATTGAAAATAACTCCAGGTACCATAAAATCCAAGACCAACATTTGCTCCAGGAAAACGATTCGCAAGAGTTTGTGCCTGATCACCATAAAAGGGATATACAATTTGTAAAATTGCTAGCGCATCGTTTATAATATTGACCCAATTATCATGATCTGTCCCTCTGAAGGCGATAACAATCTCTCGAGTTTGATTATTAACAATGACATATGCAAGAAAATCAATATTCTCATTATGCAAATTTACGAACTCTAAAAATGATAAATCAATGTTAATGTTTAGAGATAATTTATTATCATTTGAATTTATATTTAGAACATTTATCAACTTACGTTATAGTATTTAATATATAATTGAATGTTAGCAGTTAAGTTCAAATGTTAATCGTAATAGGGTGAATAGTAGTAGCATGGGTACATACAGGTTTAGCGCTAATGACACCAGGAATCTCTTTACAATGGACACAGGTCCAGCTCTCCACCGTTGGGATTGCCTCATATGTTACGGCAGAATAGTGTGCAAACCGTTGTAGTATACTCACCTCAGCATCATTTGGGTAGCTAGTGCCATCAACCACACTAGGCACAGGATCAGCTATTGCAGAATAAATACTGAAAAAGAATAATGAACCAACAATAATAATAATTTTCATAATGTATTTATTTATTTCTTTAGATTCATGCCGCTCTAGTAATTTTTTCATCAATAAAAAAAAAAAGGAGGATAATGTACAAACATTAATTTATTGTTAAAAAAATAATCCAAGAATAGAACTATATATTTAGAAACCACATTAACATTAACCATTAATGTAAAAGATTGCCATAAAACCACGATTTCCACTATAAAGAGGATCGGGGAAATAAAAAAAGTACACTATAGACAAAATCCACTATAACGAACTTTGACTGCGTAAAAAATCGATTTTTCTGCAAATTGATTAAGTGATCAGTTGAAAAATCGAAAAGAAATAAATAAATTAATAAATAAGCAAATAATATGATAACAATAATAGTAGTAATAAATAATAATAATAATATATAGTATAATAATATTTAATTTTAATTTCAATTTTAAAAGTCTTTGGTAACTTATCATTATTACTATATAGTTAATTAATTTTATGAAATAAACTAAATAACTGAACATTTACAAAGTGATAAACATGATCACGGAGATATAATGGAAATATTCCAGAGTGTCATTTTTTTACAGGGTATGAATAGCAATAAGATTGAATTATTAAAAGTTTTTAATTTAACTTTTCCAAGAATGATCGTCGAATAGGCAAAGATGGGTGGTGATGGTAGTACAATTGTATTTATTTGTGACTTACCTTGTCTGGTTTTGTTGCATTATCACTATGAGAGTGGACTATCCATTAATCATTTAGAAGCCACACAACACTGCCACACTAATCAATATCAAAATAAAAATCTCTTTTTACAAATAATTAAATAAATTTTTTCTTTCAAAATTATAAACAATGTCAACGCCATCAACAACTACAACACAACCAGCAGAACCAGCAACAAAAGAAGCAGAACCATTAACAAAAACAACAATAGTGACAAAAAAAACACTTACACCCGAGGAAAAATATGAATTAATCACAAGAAATCTTCAAGAAGTTTTGGGGGAAGAGGAAATTTTAAAAATTCTTAAGGAAAGAGATTTAAAACTTTACTGGGGTACAGCACCGACTGGTAAACCGCATATTGGATATTTTGTACCAATGTCAAAAATTGCAGATTTTTTAACAGCTGGTGTTGAGGTTTGTCATATTCTTTTTTTTTTTTTTTTTCATATTTTAATTAAAAAAAAAAATTAGAATTTTAAATTTTAAATTTATTATTTTATTTAATGATTGGAAAGATAGGTTACGATTTTATTGGCTGATATTCATGCTTTTCTTGATAATATGAAAGCACCATTAGAACTTGTAAAATTCCGAACCAAATATTATGAGGTGCTTATTAAAACCACTCTTGAATCAATTGGGGTACCAATTGAAAAACTGAAATTTGTAACCGGATCAGATTATCAGTTGACACCCAAATACAGCATGGATAATTATAAACTTTGTGCAATAGTTACAGAACACGATGCAAAAAAAGCAGGTGCAGAAGTGGTTAAACAAGTAGAGTCAGCTTGTTTATCGGGTTTACTTTATCCAGGATTGCAAGCACTAGACGAAGAATATTTGGAGGTTGATGCACAATTTGGAGGTGTCGATCAGAGAAAAATATTTGTTTTTGCCGAGAAACATTTACCGCATCTTGGATATAAGAAAAGAATACATTTAATGAATCCGATGGTTCCCGGCTTGGCAGGATCCAAAATGTCATCATCAGATCCAGATTCCAAGATTGATTTACTTGATGATTTAAAAACTATTACTCGTAAAATGAAGAAAGCATTTTGTGAAGAAGGCAATATTACAGAGAATGGACCTTTATCATTTGTAAAATCAGTTTTATTTCCATTGTATTCGCTCAACTTCAAAACACCACAATTTACAATCAAAAGACCAGAAAAATATGGTGGAGATGTTAACTATGAAGATTATCAATCTTTGGAAAATGACTTTCGTGATAAAAAAGTCCATCCTGGAGATTTAAAAGCATCAATTACACAAAATATTAATGCAATATTGGAACCTATTAGAAAGAAATGGGAGAGCGATCCTGAACTTCAAGAATTGGTTAAAAAAGCATATCCAGAGCCAGCCCCAAAAACTGTAAATAAGAAAAAAACAAAAAGTGATAAAAGTAATAGCCAAAGTTCTACTTAATAAAATCCTACTAATGTATTCTATTTATTTCAACTTGAATATTATCAAATAGAAATTTAAAAACTAAATTATCTATCTAATTTCTATATTTATATACGTATGTAAATACATTTATAATAATAATAAATTATTTATTATTACGGAGCAATCACTTACACTTATTTAATTCAAAAATATCACACTACATATGTTTAGGGACATGCCATATATTAGCAGAGATCCATTTACTATAGTAATATGCATCTGAGATTGTGATCATACAGAAACTTTCTCAAAATAATCAATATACATGTAATTTAAATTCAATAGTTGATCCTGAACTGGAGTCCTTGTTTGACCAAATCTTAATTAGCCATAAAACTCCTCTCTATCATTTTAATTCTCTTAATTCAATGGATGATGAGACACAATAAATATTCACACCTTCTTTTGATCCAGTGGACTTGAGAATGCTGACAATAAAACATTTTTCCAGTATACGAGTTGGGTTGAGTCGAGTTATTATAAATAAATAAATAAATAAATAAATAAATAAATAAATAACAAAAAAACACGGAAAATAAATAAACGTAGCTAACTTCTTTGAATGTTTCATTACTTTGTCGGCATTAAGTTTTGTAATGGTTATAAGCCAGAAATAGTTTTGGCTCTGAGAGTGAGTACTCGGTGAATTTCTATTTAACGGATCGAGACTTGGAATGGTGGTAATAATAATAATAATATATAATAATAGTAAACTCTCTCGGTATAATAGAATACTACCTAGTGTACCAAGTGTAAAAATAAGCATCATCCTAAAGCACTTGCACTACACTTGATTTTAAAAGCATGATAAAAATATCTGCGTACAGGAATAATTTCTTTATTAATAATAATACCATCAGCCAAATTGTTTAATGTTTAATGATATCCCTAGGAAGTAAATTTTTTTGTTTCATGGGAATGACTTAGTTTTTTAAAGTGAGTGTACGGTATTAGCGTATTATTTTTATTATACTTGTAATTCAAGCAAGTATGTCGAGAAAATATTTTGAATTTATTTTTTATGAATGTAATTCAAAAAATATTATTATGTATAAATGCACATTCTTAAAAGTTCCTGTAAAAAGCATTAATAATGCTCGTAAATGGTTGTTATTGTAAATTGGTCCGCGCATTCATTCTTGTAATTAAAAACAATCATCCTTGGAACTTTCACAAACCAGATGATGTATATGTTTTAGTATAAATGCTAACTAAATCTTTGTTTGCCATCAAGTTCCCCAAAAAAGTAACGGGCTTTCCCGGAGGCATGAATGCGATCGGATATACATAAATAAATATCACATATTTATAACTGACAAACATTCGATGCTATATTGGACACCGGGTCTTCAAATCTCTGGATCCTAAACAATTCATCAAATATGGCGGAGCATTTTTATTTCTGGTGCCACCTCAAAAGACAACGTCACAAACAAATGTTTGGACTTGCAATTGTAGTATCGTCCAATCTGATAAAATATCCTTTGATGGAATTTTAGGAATGGGCTTCGACAATTCAATCACTATGGATAATGATGCTGCAATGTTAAATACCGTGCTAGAGACGTTAACGGACTTGTTTATTTTAGGCGATGTTGATAATTTCAAATTTGGCAAGTAGATTAATAATGGTTGTTTAACGATAAGACACTTTCTTTCATTAGAAAAGCATTTGCACCAGTTGATAAAGATAAGAAATTTCTATTTTGCAACAAAGATTTCAACTTTAATTTGATAGACATAATCAATGATACCTCCTGGTTTTAACGCTAGATTGTCCTGATACTTTGAAACATTTTTTTCTTTGGCATTAAACAAATCAAGTAAGTGCATAATTAAAAAATTTATTTCGTAATATTAGTATAAACTTTTTTCCCCATTTCCCTTACATTATTTAAACACACACTCGCGCATATATATACATGTATTAATAATAATTAATAATCATTATTATTATCCTCCTTACACATTCTTTTGTAAATTGTATTGTTTGCATAATATTTTGTTATTTTCCAAGGGAAAATAAAAGAGAAAATGGACACCGAAAGTTACAACAATACACAATCACGATCCTTCAATTACAACCCGTTGTTTTATTATTATAGACAAAACAAAGATCATTATACTCGACATTATTCCTATTACCAAAATTACAATAACTTTACTAATATTAATACCACTAATAATATTATTAATTCAATTTATGGATCATTATACGATATCAATAGAAATAGAAACAATTACAATTCAATAATATTTAATAATAATAATAATAATAATAATAATAATAATTATAATATTAATAATAATAATAATAATAATAATAATAATAATAATAATAATAATAATAATAATAAAAATTACTATAATTACTATAACAAGGATAACAACAACAGTTATTATAATGGTTATAATAAGGGTTCCAATAACAGCTATTATACTGATTATAATAAGAATTACAATAACGCTGGCAGCATTAAATATCTCGACACTGCCTATTCACATAATAATCATAGTTCGTGTAATATAGCTACCGATATCATCGCATATTCACGTAATATCAAAAAAGATAATAATAAGATCACTCCTAAAACATCTAATAATGGTGGTGGTGATAATTGCGAGACAACTACTAAACAATACACATCAAATAATCCAAACATATCACGTGATCACACCAATTCTGAAGGTGGTAAATTGACTCGTAAATACTGTCATAATAAACTGCTTAAAGATGACGCATCATTTGATCAATATGCTGGGTCTGTTGATAAGTATGGATTTGAACTTAGTAAAGACGAGACAGTAAACTCAAAATCACTTGATGTAGATAGAAGGTAAAGACCAAAATTAGTTTCTATATAGTGAGTGATATTATTCTATTAATTCTCAATTTTGAATTATTATTTTCATTGCCATTATTTGTGAAATAGAGCAGAAAAAAAGGAAATCAAAGAATCACAAAAATGGGCAAGTTTGCTTTCAAAACGTAAAAGAGTCTCTAAATTAGGAAGATATGGTGAAACCTTTTATCAATTTGTATGGGACAAAAAATTTGTGAAAAGAGTTTATAAAGGTATACCTAATCCTTGGAGAAATAAAGTTTGGTAAGTTAATAATAATTGATTTCACAAAAAATATTTATTACATGTGTGTATATATTATATTTAAATGTTGGTTCATATTGTTATTTTAGGAATTTTATGTTAACAACTGAAAAAAATGAAGCAGAATATGATGAATCTTCTTTGATATATACCTACAAAGTAAGTTATTAATTAATTGTTATTTGAATGATATTTCTTTTTTCTGATTAGTCAATTGATTAATTATCTCTCTCTCCCTCTTTCTTTCTTTAAAAAAAAGTCATTATTAAATTTACCATCAATTCATGAAAATAACATAGACTTAAATGTATCTGTAACATTACAATCACACATAATGTTTAAATCAAGATATGGGCCTGGGTAATTAATTATGATGATTATTTCACATGTCTCATCTAATATTATAATCATAAATATTTAATTTTATTTAATCATTTTTTTTCTGTAATAAATAAAAATTAGGCAAAGATCAATGTTTAATGTATTGAGAGCTTTCTCAAACTATAATGAAGAAGTTGGTTTTTCTCAAGGAATGGCTAATGTTGTAGCAATTTTATTAATGTATTACCCTGAAGAGGTAATTAATTGATCAATCGTTTGTTTGACAAGTTGGCTAGAAAAAAAATTTTTTTTTTCATTTACAAATATTGTTTTGTTGTTATTTTGTAGGATGCCTTTATAATGTTGACAAAATTATTTTCAAAGTGTGATTTACATAATCTTTATGTGCCTGGTTCCCCTTCCTTGATGGAAGGTTTATATATTCAAGAAAAATTAATGGAATTATATGCACCAAAATTAACAGATCATTTTGTATGAATATAATATATTTTTTCATAATATCATATTATATAGTTTATTTATTATTCTGATTACTTATTCTCCTTATTTACTCTCTCCCTTGGATATATATATATATATATATATATTAAAAAATTAGGAAAATTTGAATATAACTAGTGCATCATATTCAACTAAATGGTATTTAACATTGTTTTCAACAAATGTTGTTGCTCATAGCATCCTTTTGCGATTTTGGGATTTAATTATGATGAATGGATTTGATATATTATATTATATTGCTATTGCTTTATTAATATATAATCAACGTAAGTGTAATTAATTTATTATTATTATAATCAATTGGATTTTTCTATTAACTTACATTTATATCTTCTCATTCTTTCTTTTTTTTTTGCCATATTATTTGCAGCCAAATTATTAAAATCAAATTTTGATGATTCAATGGAAATCTTATCATCAAAAATGGAAATAAAAAACGAAAAACTTTTATTTAAAACAATTAAAAATTTGTATAAAGGAAGAAAAAATGAAATTAAAAAATATAAAGATGAATATAAAAATTTCCAACAACAGTTTAATGCATTTTAAACTGGCCATTTTTCTTTGTGTAAACAGGGTAAATTTACACCAAGATTTTGTAATTTAAAAAAGGGTAGGTTTTAGGATTAACTGGATTAATTTTTTATATTATTATTAAAATGTATATTGGATGGTTCAAAAAAATTTTTCTTTAAATAGTAATAAAATAAAATTATAACTTTTGAAGAATCAATTCATTTCTTAACTGGCAAGGTCCTCATATTGATCGCCGTATTATGTAACAAAAGCAATGTCATGTTCATTCACATGAAACAAATGTGGTGTAATCAACAAACTATATTAATACTAATATAAAATTTTTTCAATGCATTTCATTTAATTTCAAACAATGTCTAAAGAAAAGTTAACGGGAGATTGTTTAAGAATTGTATTAAAAGAACTAGAAGAAGACAAAGATACATTATATTCATGCTTACTAGTTAATAAATTATGGTGTGAACTAACTGTAGAAGTATTATGGAGTCAACCTTTTCGTATAACCAGGTCTTCACCTTCCTCAAAACTAATAGAAATCTACATGAGATTTCTTTCGGCTGAACAAATACAGAAAATTAAACAAGAAACAGGAACATTATTAATAAACGAAGAAGAATACAATGACGATTATGATTATTTCGGAGCTACCGCTTTTCTACCAATGTTTGATTATCCAATATTTCTAAGAAATTTATCATACCTTGATTTATACATTTCAGTATCAAAATGGTTTAATCTATATGATAAATGGTGCGAAGTTTATAGGGAAAGGGTGGCGATTCTATCAAGGGTTTTATTGGAAATGTTTATGCTGAAATCAAATTCTTTGGTTAAGCTGTCGATTGAAACAGGTGACATGTTTATGGTAAAGAATAATCATTTGAATGTGTTTGGTTTACCAGGGTCAGATGAGTGCCTGGCAAAATTAAAACAATTCACTTGTATCGGAGATTTTTTAAAATATGAAATATTTTTGAGCGCATCGAAAACATCTAGAAATATTAAAACATTATACATTAGTCCGGGTCGTGTGGGTGCTTTGCACGAACACAATGTACCTCAAAAACAAATTGATAATTTAATTGAACTAATAAAAGTTCAGAAAAATCTAGAACATTTAGCATTACATAGTTGTAATCAACCAAATAGATTAGTTGGTTCGCTGATGTGTTTATTGGATCAACAAATTCATTCTTTAAGGCATTTAGAATTTATCTTGTTCGGCTTCAACATTAGCAATGGCAACAACAATGACATAATTGATTTCACACCTTTAACTGGATTAAAAAATTTAGAAACTTTAACTTTCGAAAGTTGTAAAGGAATCAAAAACTTGATGGAAGTATTTTCTAGTAGAAATGAATTAAAAAATCTAAAAAAATTAAGTTTCAAAAACACAATCATGAAAGATAATGTGTTGGCTGAATTTATAGAAAATTCAAAATCATTATCAACGCTTCACATAGGACCAATTGAAATCAACGATCCAACAGATCCAATTAATATATTTGATGTTATATCAAACAATACTAATTTATTAGATTTTTCCATTAACATAAACAATGACAATGATATGAATCAATTAATTGATTTATTAACATTAACAGTAAATTTGAATATTTTAGAAATATATGGTGAAATTCTAGACACATATAGATCCAATTCCTTATTTTTTGAAAATCTACCGGAGTCATTAGAACATCTCATAATTCACGCCGATTGGTGTTTTTCATCATATGATTTACTATTAGGTTTAAAAGGATGCAGAGCAAAATTAAAGACATTTAAAATTCCAGATTCTTATTGCTTAAACGATTCACATTTATTTGTTATAGCGGCTTGTTTAGGTGAATCGTTGAAATATCTGGATATCAGTTATGCATCTCCTTCTCAGATAACGGGAGCAGGTCTGTCCAAAGTAAGATCTGTGATTGAGAGAGTTGATTACCGATATAAAAAAGATCGTAAATATTCCGATTTTTGGAATTTAAGATTTTGGGGGGAAAATTGGGTCGAGGAACCAATTATTGGCGATTTTTTAGAACAGGATTGAAATATTTTATTATATAAAGATAGAGATAAAGTAAAACATATTTTTAATCATGTATATAAAATAATAGATATTAAATATATAATTACAATAATTCATATAATTATTATTTTCAAAGATGTAATATATATATATATATACATATATATATATATTATATAATCATGATGAATAAAGAACATCTATTTTTAAATTAATGCATTTATATCAAAATTGAACGTTTATTTAAATGATATGTTGGCCTATTTTTCTGAATTAGGGTCCCAAGGTCTTTTTGTCAATTCAGCATAAAATTTAAGAGTATCGTCTGTGGGTTGAAGCCTTCCCCCTTTTAAAACATCTAATGATTATATGGTCTATTGTATAAAGAGTAGTATGCTCCCGCATTATCATTTCAAAACTGTGAATGGGGGGTTTTTTTTTGATAATTAAAAATCATTGCATATATATATATGTGATAATTTTATTAATAAAGAACACTTCGCCTTTAAAAAACCAAGTAAACACAACTTGCATACTAAGCAAAACTTGTTATATGGATCAGAATTAACTTGGAAAGGATGATGTTTCAAACTTGAACATTATACATCATTTTGAACGCGACGTGATTTTTTGCCTTGGTTTTTTGTGTCACACGTGTGGGAATGATGTCAACTTGTATTGTCACACAAAAAGTATTCAAAAAGAAAATTTTTTTAATCATCACTATTGTCAGTCTCATTTTTCTGATTTATATTTTTCATTTAAATCTGCTATATTCATTTCCGTACTTCTTCACTCCATTCTATCGAACTATGTATTCTTTCTTTGATGGGTCGTTTAACAATTTAGGTTGCCCAAGTTGGATGTTGAATGAAATGAAAAAAATTTTGGGAGTCAAATTTATTACAATTTCTCGAACTTTCTTATAATGCAATTGAAAACAGAATATGCCTTTTTTCCTTGGCAGAACACGATTCCATTATTTACTTATCAGAAAAAATAATTATAATCTTTGTAGATAAACGATTATATTAAACTCATCAAAAAATAATTTTATTATTTGTAAAAAAACAAATTCCCTTTTGTAATTATTGACTTTTTCATTATTTTATTTGGTCTCTAAATATGGTAAATTACCTTTTCTAACAAAACGCGTAAAAAATCTAAATCTCCTATTATCAAATTTATGTTGGGGGCTTTGCAACTATTTTGGGTAAAATCCATTTGTAGTAAATTTTAAGGCTACCTATCTACGAAGCCTTATATTTTTGAAAATGTATTATGGGAACTTTATGGAACAGAAAATAAATAATATCTTAGTATTGATGATGATGTGTGAAGTGGATATGCTTGTGTAAAAAATAAAATACACAGATACTCTTGATATAAAGTCCCCGGGACTATGTTTTTCTTCTTACTATGGCTTTCTTATGGAGGTTTTTTATATCCAGGGTGATTGTTATAATAACAATGATGATGGCAATGATGATAATAACAATAATAACAGTAGTAATGAAGGTGGTAGCCATAGTGATAAGGATTATTCATTCTCTATTTATTAACACATATATAGCAAGAGCAATAATTAAAAGATATTTAAGTTGAGGATAATCATTCATTGCTATAGTAATTATTCCAACGTAAGGTAGAAATCTAATAAATTATTATAATAATAAAGTTAATGTTAGAATTAGAATTATTTATTACTAGTAGTAATATTGATATATTGATTACAATTATTATATTGATTGATGTTTACCCATTAACTTTTCCAATTAAATGTTCTTTATGAATCCAGGCCTGATTTTTATTATATAAACCTCTATCATCAACTTGATTATTATCCCCTTTAGTTAAAATATATTGTTTACCTGATTGAACTCTAATTAATAATTAATAATATATATATATAATTAAATATTTGCAAAAATCATGAAAATTTTTTGCAAATTGCAAAAACATCAACTCACTCATCATGTAATTTTATTACTCTATGAACAATTGGCACTTCCCTTCCTGGAATCTTAAATACTACAATATCACCAACTTTCACTGGTTCATTTGGCATACTTAAAAATAATATATCTCCCCTGTAAAATGCTGGTTCCATACTACCACTAAATCATACACATATATAAATACGATATGACTTTAAAATGTATATAATAATTTTATTCATACCTCAAAACCACTACAATAGGGCTTTCACTATTAGTATAAAGTGATAAAGTTTTCCATAATATCAGAGCTGAACAAACTATCATTAAAAAATTTAAAATTTGTTGTGCAAACTAAAATAAAAATAATCAAATAATAATAATCAAAATTTAAAAAAGAATTCTTCCATTTCATGTCATAATAATTTGTAAAAACGTTTTACCGTCCGTTTGCTCATTTCACGAAGAAACCTTATCTGCTCTTCAAACATTTTTAATTACCAGTATTATTTTTATATAAATTATTATTAATTTAGTTTTTCTAATTTCTCGATTTTAATTTTCAGCCAATAACAATTAAACGTGTCTTGTTTGTTACACGTAGTCCCAAAATATTGAATATTCAATGTCGAATATTCCAAAAACAAAGTTCCTTAGTATTAGCTCATCAGGCAACCGAATGACTTGCAGATAAAGTTCGTATCGTGAATAAATTGATCAACGGCTCCAAACTAATAATATAATGACGGAATGACGGAACAACATTCATCTTGGTCAGTTGACACCACCATTAAACTTATTTATAATATATATATATATTATATTATTAATCCTTTTGCAATCCAACACTCCCAAGTAAGTATGATTAAGTTCGTTTATATTATAAAGCTTAAAATTTTTTGTATGGAATTTCAATTTCCCAACTTTTTGCTGGTTGTTTCTATAAGAAATTAAAAAAAACAGCATCAATATCAGAATTGAAATTGATGTTTTATTTATATCAGTTACTATTATTATTTCTGCCCATACATACTACTAATATCAGAGATTTTCTATTAAATAATATGATGATTGTATATTATAGCTATAAATATAGTTCCTGTGATAATTTGAATGTGATACTGGTGGAATTGATTTTTATCTTTAGACAATCCCTTTTATTTGGACATAAAGTTAATTAGTGTATTAATAATTTGTCAACATTGTTTTAAATTCTTTTACCATCCAACAATTGTTACCAGTATTTGCCTCAGATTAAATTATGATGAAAAAAGTTATTATATATATAGCCTGAAAAGAATAAAAATTGTCAACAATTGGGATTGCATAACATCTAATATAATGATACTTTATCAATATGATCAATCTATCCATGTTAAATGGCCAGAATAGTGCAATGCATAATTAACAATCCAATAAACATATCTTTTATAGATTACACCAATTTTTGGATGTAAGGTTGCTTGCCAAAACCTCTTAGTGACTGTCGAAACTCTAATAAACAATTAATGTGTAAAATTTGGATGATCTGCATCATAGTAAAATTTTATAATCATACCCTCATTTGATACCCTTGCTGTGTAGTAGCCACCACCAAATTTGAGATATAACTTTTTTATCATATGTATCTACTTTATGAAAAATCTTAAAGCAGGTTGTTAATAAAACCGAAAATAATCTGACCCTCAAAG